GGGCGGGGCTGGCGAAGCCCCCCTTCCCTCCCCCGCCAAGGGAAAGCCCCGGCAGCACCGGCAGCGACGGAGCGGAGCGGGGGTCCCGCGCCCCTCCCCAGGCACCGCCGGGTCTTCTCGGACGAGGGAGGGAAGCTCTCCCCCTTCCTGCCCCCGGAGATCTTCCAGAAGCTGCAGATCAGCGAGGCCCAGAGCACCCGCAAGTATGGGGGGTTGGACACGAGGGTTCCCGGGGACGGGTGGGGAAGGGAAGGGGTCCCGGGGCACGTCTCCATGCCCGGGGTCCTGTCCCCGTGTCCTGCGTGCTGAGGGCTGGCTCCGGGCAGGGAGCTGACGCCGCTGGAGGAGGCGTCTCTGCAGAACCAGAAGCTGAAGGCTGCCTATGAGGCACGGGTGGCACGACTGCACCCCAGCCAAGCCCTGCAGAAGACCTCCCTGGCAAGTGGGGACCCACCCCCCCAGGGTGGGAGGCTGGGGAGGGAGGGCAGAGGTGGTGCCTGGGGGACCCCCTGCGCCATGCCACCACCCTGTGGCTGTGGGCTTTAGGTGGGTGTCCCCAACACGCTGTTTGCTTCACAGACACTGTCCCTGCAGCGGCAGATGATGGAGAACCTGGTGATCGCCAAGGCCAGGGAGGAAACTGTATCCTTCCTGGTGGAGACAGCTCTGAGTTCCAGCCTTGCCACCACACCGGGCTCAGCAGGGCAGTGGGGTGGCCAGGGCAGTGGGAGAGCAGGGTGGGCTGGGTGCTGTGGCAGCTCCACAGCCTTAACTGTGCCGTGGCTCAGCTGCAGAGGAAGATGGAGGAGCGGCGGCTGCGGCTGCAGGAGGCTGCCAACCGGTGAGGGGGGGGTCCCTGGGGTGCAGGGGCCACCCTGGGAGCTGCCATCACCCGGCACTGTCTGTCTCCAGGAGGTTCTCCAGCAGCGTGGCCCTCACCCCCGAGGAGCAGGAGCAGAGGGCCCTGTACGCCGCCATCCTGGAGTACGAGCAGGACCATGTGAGTAGGTGCTAGGGGCTGCTGCTGTGGGTGCTGTGGGGCAGGGTGCATCCTGTCCTGGGGGCTGTGGGGCAGGGGGTCTTGACACCCCTAGGTGCTGCTGGGGCAGGGGTCCATCCCATGGGGCAGGACACCATCCCATCCCTGCTGACTGTCTATGGTACTCCCCAGGAGTGGCCAAGGCAGTGGAAGGCCAGGCTGGGGAAGAGCCCGC